GCAAAGTCTCTCTCTGCTCTCCATGCCCTCCTGTCCCCTCCCTGGGCCCTAGGAAATAGAATGCCTTCCCCCAAAGCCAGCATAAGCCAAGAGTCACCCCCTTCCTTTCAGAAATGCCCAATTCCTGTTCCCCATGCCCAGAGGAATAAGATGTGCCACCCAGAGCCCTGACACCCCCAATACACAGGCCACACCTGTTGGCACTGGATCATAGCTTTTTGTCCAATCTCAGTGCTACATGGCTGTCCATGCCTGGTCGAACCTAAGCATAAAAAATGGATAGTTCAAGTTGTGTCTTCATTTCAGGAGGCCTGGTGTCACATAAAACTCTGATTAACCAAATTTGTTACGCTCTCCTCTTGTTTGCCTGTTGTCGTTACAGGCTTGTCAGTGTGACCCTTTCAATGGGGAGAAGGGAGATCGAATCCCTCCATCCCTACAGTGTCCTCTGGTCATCGTGCTTGACAGAACGGGCTCTGGTGGTGCAGCACCTGCTGTGCGCTCCGGGAGACCAGCTCAACGCTATCTCCCTCTGCAAACCAGGAAACTGGGGCCTTCCTTCCTAGGGCTAACCAGCACCCAAGACTAGGACCGTCTGGTTCCAGAGTCCAGTCCTGTCCCCCAGGTCAGGGGACCTCCTCTGGGTCCCCTAGGGCCAGCTTGGCATCACGCCTGCCGGCTCCCGGGGCCAGGAACAGCCCTTCTGGGATAGCAAGACGGCGCCGTCCGCACATGGGGCTTTCAGGGCCTCCCAAACCCAGCAGGGACGGCAGGCACCTTCCAGGGCTGCAGGTATAAACCTCAAACCTAGTAAAAAGGGCTTGAGCTGTATGGGGACTTTTCTCTCTCCTTTCCTCCCAACTTCCTTCCCTTCTCCTTTCTCTTCCCCTTCCTCACCTTCTCCTCCTCTTCCTTTTTCTTTTTCTTGTGTGATTAAGACTAAAGATGCCGGGCCTGGAATTTAGCTCAGTGGTTTTGCCACCTGCTGTGCAAGCGCAAGGACCCGAGTTCAATCTCCGGTACCAAAAAAAAGACTAAAGATGCCTGGGCTGCGGATATTGCTCAGCAACAGAACATTTGCCTAGAGTGTGTAAGGCGCTGGGTGCCATCCCTAGCACCCCCTAAAATAAAGGAAAAAACCATGAAGATGTCTTCAGGGTGCGCCACACTTTGCATCTACAAATCCTTCCCTTCCCTGATGGTCTGACCACGCTTACTGGCGGGTGTCATGGGCTCTACTCAGCTGCAGTGTTCTGTGTTCCAGCCCCATTCCAGAGGCCAACTGGGAACCTCTGGGGCAGAAGTGTGGCCCCTCCATCCTAGACACTGAGGGGCTCAGACTGGCTACCCCAAACTAGGACACTAACCTGCCAGCCCCACCTATGCCTTTCTGGCAGAAGGATCATTTTGAGCTGACCACTGTGAGAAATGCTGACAAAGGAAAAGCTTGCAAACAGGAGGAGTTGCCTTTTGTGAGGGAAATTTATCTCTGTAGAGAAAATCTCCTTCCCCTCTCCCTTCCCCTCTCCCTCTCCCTTTCTCTCCATTTTTTTTTCCCTCTCTTTTTTTTTTTTTTTTTTGAGACAGGATCTCATGGTGTAGTTCAGGCTAGCCTTGAACTCATTATGTACCCCAGGCTGGTCTCAAACTCACAGTGATCCTCCTGCCTCAAGCTCCTAAGAGCTGGAATTACAGGCCTGCTCCACCACACCCAGCTTGACTCTCTCTTTTCTGCTAACCTGTCAGGGTAGATGTTTTTGTCACCTGGTCTTGTCATCCAAACAAAGCCTGAAGAGTTCCCCCAATTTAGCTCACCCTATAGGTTCTCCACTCTGTCACAGAAAGGAATTTTCAGGGTGTGTTCTTGAGAGGCATAGAAAGGCTTCATTAGGCAGAGTGAAATACACACTCTAGGAGGGTAGAGTGTGACAGGCAGGTGCTTCATGGTCTGCAGCAGGGAATGTTGGCAGGGGCGGGGGGGGGGGTCCTGTGGAATTTGTGACTCTACACAAAGCATTCCTAAACTCAATTTATGAGTGAATGGTGCCAGCCCCTCTGCAAGTGACAGGCAAAGGGCCAATCTATTGTTTTTGTTGGGGGGGGGTGTTCATTAGAGGTTTTTTGCGGCACCAGGGATTGAACCCAGGGCCTTCACATTGAACTACATCCCCAGCCCTCATAGTTGTTTTGTTTTGGGGTTTTGGTTTGTTTTTTAGACAAAGTCTCAATAAGTCACTAAATTGCCTAGGCTGGACTTGAACCTTCAATTCCCCTTGCTTCAGCTTCCCACAGTGCTAAGATAACAGGTGTGTACCATCACACCTTTTTTTTTTTTTTTTAAATGGGTGATCTAAGATGTTTTGCCTAAAAATATTCTTTGAATGCTTTTGTTATTCAGTTTTGCAGTACTGGAGTCTCCTAGACGTAGTTCCTAGGTTCTTTCTGTCCTGAACAAACAATTAATCAAGACAAGCGCCACTGCCCTTTTTGGAGCCTCAATTTCCTCATTTGTAAAATGGGAATGAGGCCAGGGATATAGCTTAGCAGCACAGCACCTGCCTGGGAAGAGCAAGGTCCTGAGTTCGATCCCTGGTACCAAAAAAAAAAAAATGGAGGCGATAGTCCTATTACAGACAGATGAGTTAGGTAGAAATACAGGCAGTCAGGTAGGGTGAGGCCCTCCAGAGGGTCAGGACAAAGGTGAAACACACCACAGCTAAGCTGGAGACAGATCAGCTGAAAGAAAACCAGGCCTCAAGATAAAGACAAGATGACCAGACCTGCATAATTCCTCAAAGAATAGACACCGGGCCTAATTAAGTCTAGACAGACATTAACCACCCTGGTGGGTGACCAGAGACCTCTGGACCCATCACTTTCTAGAAGAATCTTTGTTCTTTCCATCCATGCTTGTTACGTGGCTTGTTTCCCAACTGGACCACCATCGCCTAAGTGACTACACTTGTAACCTTATTGGATGTTCATGGTTGTGGCTCACATTGTACCCACGTGGGCTTCACCCTGTAAAACTCCTCTGTAAAGTGGGGTCCCCGGCTACCCACTTGGGACCGACTCCTGCCCCTCAGGAGCTTTCCTATCAATAAATATCTTCCGACTTTTAACCTCCATTGTTCCCGGGACCCGTTCTTCTATTATAATTCTAAGAGAACAAGAACTCGGCATATCATACAGTTAACAGGTTGAGAGATACAATATTTCATCTCTGGTATTATTTCCCGTAACAGTCCTGTAACAGTCGCCAAGTTGTGGGGACCAAATAAGAAAAAGTTCATAGAAAGGATTCATATGTAAACAAGGCTAAAATGGAGGACACTTCTCCCCCACTCCTTACCACCTCTCAGCGTGAGAGGACTTTTCCTTGTGTCACCATGTACCAGGTTTTTGGTACTGGAGTCTCCTAGAGGTGGTTTCTAGGTTCTTTCTGTCCTGAACAAAGAATTGGCCAACACAAGCCCAAAAGGTAATGAGGTTTTACACTGTTAAAGGTAGGAAAGGAAACATGCTCTGCAGAGTGAGTTCAGGCCAACTAAAAGTAGGAAAGAGCACAGTGTTCAGGGTGAGAATCGGTCACTGTGAAAGAGCACAGGGCCAAGGGCTTGGTGGCGACCATTTTTTGTATCTCCCACTCCTCAGGCTGAGGTCAGGTCTAGGCCGTCCTATCAAAACTTGCTCCAGGGGCCAGCGATTTAGCTCAGTGGTTCTGCTGCCTGCCTTGAAAGTGCAAGGACCAGAGTTCAATCCCCAGTACCAAAAGAAAAAAAGAAGGAACAAAACTTGCTCCAGTTCTGCAGGAAGAATTAAAAATAGCACTCTCTGATTGGTTCCACAACCAGGGCAGGGCGTTGGGAACTGTTCTGCCCATGTGTGCTGGAACTCTGTGATCAACAGGTTATACCCACTTCCCCAGCAAGTCACCCCACGCCACCCCCCATCTCCTGCCTCAACCTGACAGGGTCTGAGGAGTTTCCCAAAGTGAGATAAGGAGCCTAACCCACCCTACTCAGAATGAGTTACAAGTTTGCTGACTCCTGTCACAAAAAAGAGCTACCAGGACTTAAAAAGTTTTTTAAACAGTAGAAGGAGAAAAAAGGAACTTTTTTTTTTTGAACTTTTAATTAAAAGGTACACAATTTTTTGGGGGGGGTACCGGGGATTGAACTCGGGTCCTCGTGCTTATAAGGCAGGCAGGAGAACCACTGAGCTAAATCGCTGGCCCAATTAAAAGGTACATATTGAAAGAATAAGTGCAGGACAGAGAGAGAGAGAGAGAGACAGAGACAGAGACAGAGAGAGCGTGAGAGAGATTCCTGTATGTTCCTGGAACAGGAACATTTGTGCTTTCCTTGAGGGGGTGAAGGTGCCTTCCCCCAAGAAGGGTACCATCCTATATTACAGGCATGAGCCTAGTTTTGTTTTGTTTTTTGAGATGTATAATTTAAGCATTTTTTGAATCATCTGGACTTGTTTCTTTATTTTAGGATCAGGTTCCTGCTCTTTATTTTCTCAAGTAAGTTAATGTATAGACTCCAGTATTCCTGAGGAATTTTAGGTGTGATGGGTCTGGAAATTTAACCAAGGGAACATTATATAGATTGCCTTGGGTAACTTCCGTTGGGTCCAGGAAGTTGGAGTCTTCTGAAAAGCATAATTGTTTTAGTAATGATTTCCTTGTCTCCTCCCTACCTTTTATTTCTTCTCTCTTACTTCACTTGGAACTGGAAATTTGCAGGAAAGGCCGGGTGTCTATCACCTCGCTTAATCAGTGGACCCTGGGTGTCACAGAGGGTTTGTCATTGTACCACCATCTTTCTGCTCACAAGTGCGGAGCCAAGATTCATCCTGGGAGCTTCCAGCCTCTTCCTCTCCTGGGCTGCGGGACTTTCTGACAATTTAGGGTGCTGCTCCCCAAACTTGCTTGCTGGGGAAGCTTGCTGATGGGTCAGTTTCCACACCCCGGCCCTGATCAATGGAATAACTGATGGTATTCATTCATCATTTATTAAACATTTATTCTGTACTGTGCTGGCAAAACAAGGCAGAGATAGGGAGGGGGAGCCACAACTCCAGCGAGGCCCTGAGAAGTGGGGTGCAGGACCAGAGACTTCTAGGATTAGCCAGTGTTTAGGCGATGCTGGTAATAAAAGGAGAGCCAAGCCAGGGAGTGGGAAGGCCCTGAGAAGCTGTCCACACCAGTGAGGACACAGCTTGAGGACACTGTGGCACCTCTTTGAGGATGGGCTATGGAGGGCCACAACATCAGGCCCTGCCAGGTCCCCCTAGAACCCAATTCTGGACTGGTCAATAAACAGGGCCAGGAGTGGAGTTGGAAAGGTTCTGGCTTCTTTCCCATGTACGCACCTGTGAAAATAAAAGGGAAAATCATGATAAATGAGAGCTGAGGCTGTAGCTCTGTGGTACAGCATTTGCCTAGTGTATACAAGGACCTAGGTTCAAGCCCCAGAACTGGTTAAAAAAAAAAAAAAGACAAAAAGCTTTTCACAGTAGAGCCAGAAGGCCCTTAGGAAGCCGGAGTTACATGTGACTCTGCATTCAGGCTGCTGCCTGAATGTGAACTTTGTCCACCCTAACTGCAGGCATGTGGAACAACCGGACAAGTACTCTGTCCCTAGAAGCCCAAGGTGCATAGCAAGGGTTAGGCACTCTTGTCTGATGGCTGTTTTCAGGGTGTAACCTTCTTCTGTCCCTTGCATAGCCACAGAAGAATCCCTACTGCTGTGTAATAAAAGGATATCCTTGCTCACAGAAGCTCCGCCTTCCCTGTCTTCTCGGGACCTGTCTGGAGCTGTCTGAATCTGTGGAGGTTTTTGTTTGCTTGCTTTTGTTTCTTGAGACAGGGTCTCACTGTGTAGCTCAGGCTGACCTTGACCTCACTATGTAGCCCAGGCTGGCAAGCCTCTTGCCTCAGCCTCCCGAGTGCTAAGATTAAAGGTGAGCACCACCACGCCCGGTGCCTTGAGTCTGTGATTCCAACTTGAAATTTCTAAAATCCCAATAAAGGCCCCTTCCTGGTATTATAGATAGCTAAGTTAGTTAGAAATATTATAGGCAATCAGACAAGGCTGGGCCCTCAAAAAAGTCAGTGCAGAAAGCAACTGTGGCTGGAGGCACATTCACTGAAGGCCAGGCTTCAAGGCCAAGAAAATTGACTACATCCACATACTTCCCCTGAGGATGAACAGCAGTGATTGATATCCTACTAGGCATCAATTACCTGGGTGGGGTACCAAGACTTTAACCCACCCCTTCCTTCGCAGAAGGTCCTTATTCTTTCCATGCATGCTTGCTACAGGACTTGCTTCCCCATTTGATTCCCATTTAATCAATATTACCTAAGTGACTACACTTGCAATCTTATTTATTGGTTGACCATAGTTTTGTCCCACCTTATACCCATCCTGTGATTTTCCATTGGATCAAAATTACCTAAGCGACTATACCTGTAAGTTGACTATAGTTTTGTCCCAGCTTATACCCACCTCTCCTCATGGCTTTGCTCTATAAAACTCCCTTGAGAAGCGGGGTGAGGGAGCAAACCACTTTCTGGGCCCCCTTCTGTCTCTCTTAGAAGCTATCTTTCTCTCAATAAATTCTTCCAACTCTTAGAATTCATTCTTCGAACATGAACTCGGCCTGCTGGACATCTAGCAGGTTGGGAGCTATAATATTTCCCTTACATTATTTGGAGGTCCGTACATCATCCCTGTATCGTACAGCCTGTAGCACTGGGTCTGGACTGACCCTCACCCACCACCACCACACACACACATAGCTGTGGTGGCAGATCTCGGCAAAGGTAAGATGTGACGCTGGACTTGTCCACAGCCACTGGGAAGCTCCGGGCTTCCCGGAAACCTCGGCCTAGCCCAGAAGACCACGCTCACCCTGGAGACCTGAGGTCCTGATCTGGAGCAGGGAGATGGAGCGAGGTGGCTGTACCGGGGCCCCTGCGCAGGGATCCGGGGCGCAGAGCCTCGCCGTCCACGCCTGAGTGGCCGTAGGCGGGCCTAGCCCGCGCCGGGAGGGAGCGCCCGGAACGCAGGAGGGGCGGAAAGCAGAAGCCGCTCCGGAACCAGGAAGAGCGGCGGGGCGGGGCGAGAGGAGGAGCTCGGCCTGAGGCACTCCGAGCCTGCCCGAGTCGCAGTGGCCTCGCGGCCCGAGGCGGTGGTGGCGGCAGCGAGGCGGCGACAGTAAGTGCGGGCGGGGCACCGCGGGGCTCCCCGGCTCTCCGCTCCGGCCGAGCCCGGCCTCCTGTCCGGCGCCCCCTCTCCGGATCCGCAGCTCACCCCATCCCTCTCACCCCTGCTCCCTCCTGAGATTGGACCTCAGCGTCCCGACCCAGGGCCCGAGTGTGAGCCAGGCAGCCCCGAGGATCCCCGAGGTGGCTGGCTCCGCGGGTCCCAATTGGGGCGCCGATTCTGCTGGGCCTCTGCTATCCCGTGGTTTAGCTTCCCCGCTGGGGGCATCGAGGCACAGGAGAGATTGACTTGGCCGGAGTCGGGAACCTCGCTGGAACCTGCACCCAGGCTTCCCAGCCCAAATGAGGGTCTGCAGCCCCAGGTTGCCCGGGGAGAGAGCAAGCTCGAGCAGGGCTAGCCACCCTGGGGAGCTTGGGCACTTTCTTACCTTTGTCTTTCTTTTTTAAATCCGTAATCCAGCAGATAGCTTTTTAAAGAGCAATAAGACTTTGCTCACTCCAGTGCCCCAGCCCGTGACCGGGGATAGAGAAAATTCCTGGCTCCTTCAGAAGCTTGGTCAAGGATGATTGGTCCTGGACGAATAGACCAAGGAGCTGAGAAGGTGGCCTGGCCGGGTGGGGGCCGAGTCTCCCTTGGCCCTTGGACCCCCTCCCAGCTGGAACATTTGCACCTCTTGCAGTTCTGTTGTTCTCCACGGGTCCTGATTACATTTCACCTTTTCTGACACTAATTCTGAGCGTGTGCAAGTGTGTGTGTGTGAGTGTGTGCACACCCTGTCAGGTTAGGGTGAATGCTGGTCCACAGAGGCTCCTGAGGGACTCTGCAGGGCATGGTGTCTGGGTGCAGAGCCCAGACATTCAGTACAAGGTGATGAGTGTGCCTGCAGTGCCCCCTTCACCTCTAGTTAGAGCTGTCTGGCTGCGAGGCCTCCCAGAAGGAGGTATGGACTTGGATGGCAGACACAGGATCAAGCTCGTAGCCTGTCCTTCCAGCGAGGCCGAGGAGTCCAGTGTGGGCGCCACACTACTCTGCTGTATAACTTCACTGTGTTGCCATCTGGTAGTTGAGTGACCTTAGAGTTATAACTAACAACTCGTTAGGCTGTTGTCAGGCTTGAGCACAGGCCTGTAATGGCACTGGGGAGGCGAGGTGGGAGGATCCCCATGAGCTCAAGGCCAGCCTGGGCTACATAGTGAGTTCGAGGCCAGCCTGAACTACACAGCAAGACCCTGTCTCAAAAAAAAAAAAAAAGAGAGATGTCTTCAGTGTCATTCCAGAGATCACCTGTGCCTGTGCAGATCAGAGACTGCGTGTGTTTTCTCTTCCCGACACACTTTTGCATGATTACCATGTTCCATGCTCTAGCCTCTTTACTTTTTTTGGTATAAAGTCAAAAAGAGTGTAGAGATTGTTCTTTGCCCTTCGAGGGTCCTGCTTCGTTTTCTGACGGCTGCATACAGTAGAAGGGTGAACGTCTTAGACCAGGTTTGCCCTCCAAGACTGGGCTGCAGTGTCTTACACCATTCTGTCCCATACTTCTGTGCTACCTGTCCTGCCCTTGCATGGCTGAGGTGACCTCGGAGGTCACTTACACTTCTGACATCCTGTCTCCCTCCAAGTCTGATTTTTGTCTTCCTGATTCTTGAGCCTGCAGCACCCCACACAGTGACCCAGCAGCGGGTACCGTCTCACTGTAGGACAGGCGAGTCCCCAGCTGTGCCCGGCCATGGTGTCTGCTCACCTCCTGTCTGGGTCTCTCCCCACCAGTGGCCATTGCCTCAGAGGATGACACGCATCACAGCTCCAACTCTACCTACAGAGCCACTGGCAGCCCACTGCAGCCTGACCAGGAGGCACTGCTCGGGAAGCAGCTGGACTGCCCACCGCCAGACCGCTGCCACGCCACCTACGCCATTTTCTTCAGCCTGGGCATCGGTAGCCTCCTGCCATTTAACTTCTTCATCACTGCCAAGGAATACTGGGCCTTCAAGCTCCACAACTGCTCCAACCCTGCCTCGAGGAGGGACCCTGAGGACTCTGACATTCTGGTAAGGGCTGGGAGCTCTGGACATGGGGATGAAGCTGTGTGGAGCAGCTGAAAGTGTTCCACTGGGTCCTGAGACTGCTGTGTGTTGCGTGAGGCCCATGCCTCAGGTGGAGGAGGGGCAGGTGTGGACACTGAGCCAGCCTCACATTGCTCACTCTGTATCTGGGGAGGAGGAAGCAAGTGGTGATCCTATGGAGAGCAGTGTGGCGAAGCCAAGACTCCAGACTCCACGTCCTCCAGAGTTTGAAGGTGTGCATTTAATAGCCTTTAAGTTCAGCTTGGAGTTTCAGAAAACCCTGAAAGAGGTGTGGCTAAAACTAGATGGAAGAACATTTTTTTCCTCTCAAATCTGGGGTAGAAGTGGCCTACAGTTTCTATGGTGCTCTATAGGGTCAGGAACGTAGTTGCTTCACCATGTGTCCAGGGTCACCTCATAGCCTAAGATGGCTGTAAGAGCTCCAGCCATTACCTCAGTAGGAAGAAGGAAGAAGAGGAAATGCCAGTTGTTTTTAAGAACTCTTCCTAGAAATAACACATTGCTTCGGTTTACATTGCACTGCTCAGAACTCTGGCATGTAACCACACTAGCTGCATTGGAAGCTGAGAAGTGTAATCTTTAAGTGTAATTTTATCCCAGAGAACCACTTGCCTGCTAAAGCAGAGGTTCTGTCATTAGGGACAAAAATGTCTGTGTCCATTTTCTGTGACCACCAACGCAGTACCACAGTGACCTACAACAATGCTGGGTGACCTACAATGAGAGGGGGCTTATTTTGGCTCATGGTTCTGGAGGTACCAAGTCAGATGCTGCATCTGGTGACGGCCTTGCCTGCACCCCACAGGGCGCCACGTGGCCAGAGAGGGGGCACATGTGTGTATGAGTTTGGTCTTATGGAGTCACTGGGATTCGATCCTGGGGCTCTGGCCTAATGATGCTGTCTAGTCCTAGTGACCCTGCTCTGAATGCCACGGTTGAATAGGTTACGCTTCCCATTTTGATCCCTCAAGGGGAGGATTACATTTCAACACAGGAAGCCTTGGGGACACTCAGCATCTCCACACCTAGCACAGGGGAAAAGGAAGCCTTGGGGAGAAAGAGTCTGGTCCCAAGGGAGAGGTCACTGTGACTAACTGGATGGATGCGAAGAGCAGGGAGACCTTCCAGGGAGTGGGACCAGTGGCAGAGCAGGCTGTGGGCTCCCCTGCGTACTGGTGGGGAAGGTGGTCACAGCGACACGGTCAGGGTCATCGCTCGGACCTCGCACATCCAGCAGAGGCGCCTGGTTGTTTGGTAGTGTGGCACTGAGCCCCCCCACAGCTGCCCACTTTGCCGGTGACTTTTTCCAGGGGGGCAGGTTGTTAGAACTGCAAGGAGAATGTTAAGATGGTTGCAGTAGGAGCGAGAAGGAGCCCAATTCTGCAAAGGCCAGCAGGGTATTCAGCCTGGGAGCAAGGCTGAGATCAGAGGATGGAAAACTGGTTCTCTCTCTCTCTTTCTCTCTCTCTCTCTCTCTCTCTCTCTCTCTCTCTCTCTCTCTCTCTCTCTCTCGGTACTGGGGAATTGAACTCAGGACCTTGTGCTTGCAAGGTAGGTGCAGTGCCGCTGGGCTAAATCCCCAGCCCTCTCTCGCTTTGTTTTTGTTTGGTGTTGCAGGTTGAACCCAGAGCCTTTGCACGAAGTTCTATCCCCAGCCCTTTTTATTTTTGATGTTGAGAGAGAGTCTCACTAAGTTGCCCAGGGAAGGCTCAAACTTGTGATGCCCCTGCCTCAGCCTTCCAGAGTGCTGGGGTTACAGGTGTGCGCCACCACATCCAGATTAAAATTGGTATTTTCTAAGACTTCCATTCCCCCATTCCACCCCTCTCCCTCAGTTCTGACACCCTGGGTGGCCTTCTCTGCCGTCCTGGGAATTCACAGATGCCCCCAGAGTCCAGAGCAGGGATCATACTCATTGTGTGGTAAACCTCCCTTAGAAGGGAGCACAATGGTTAGAGCCCTGCTACTCTGGTGTGGTCCGCCAGCCAGGAGCACCGGGAGCTCACTGGTGATGCAGTCCCAGTGCCAGCCAGCCCCAGTCTGGACTCCTGTGCTCCCAGGACTGATGGGCTCGATGGACTTAGAGAAGCTCAGCCTGGGGGAGCCTCTCAGTCCGCATCCTGCCTGTCTCAGTGCTGGGCTCTGTGGCCTCCATGCTGCCTCATTTTCTAGTTATAAGAGGACGCCGACACCACCACCTTCTCAGGGTTGTATGTGATGATGGAGTCCATTCCCATGTGTCACAAGTTGCTGTATAGACAGCAGCAGCAGCAGCAGCATTATTATTATTATTATTATTATTTTGTGGGGGTTTTTTTGAGACAGGGTCTCACTATGTAGTTCAGGCTGGCCCTGACCATGTTGCCCTCAAACTCATGGCGTCCCTTCTGTGTCACCTTCCTGGGGCTGGAATTACAGGCGTGTGCCACCATGCCCAGCTCCATAAACATTATGGCCGTGACCTTCGGGGCCCCACCCACAGTCTCCACCACTCACTGACCACAGGGACTTCCAGAGCCACTGCTTCACTGGGCTGCTTTATTACTCTCTTTTAAATACTGGGGACCCAGGCATCCCAGCTTTGGGCCGCCCACTGGGCTTCCTGCAGAAGGTCACCACCTGTCCGGCTGGCCAAAACTGAGCTAGTCTGTGCGTGCACCTGTCCTGGCCAGCTTCCAGTGGTCACCCTGCCCCTGGGCACAGGCTGCAAAGGAGAAGGAGCCAGCTGGCACGGCCAATGTGGTCCCGGCCCGCCCTTGTTGCCAGTGAGCTCCCGCAGCCATCCTCCCAGCTGCAGGCACTTAGCATTCCCGGCACTGCCACAATGCTTTATTGCCTCTTCCCAAGTGCTGGCAGGTGCGAATGTAGTACCTGCAGCTGCCCAGAGCTACTGGCTCTTGGCATCGGAGATGAGAGACCTGTCACCCCTCAATTCATGGGCCGGCTCCGGGAAGCAAGCATGCTGGGCATTGTGTAGTTTGCAGGCCATTTTTCTTTGCCTCATACCTCATGCCTCCCACCCATCTCCCCAGTGCTTCCCCCTCTTCCAGATTTCCCTGTACTCGGCGGTGCTTGCTGGCCCTGCGTCCTGAGGGCCGGCCACCATGGAGGGAGGTACGGGAGAGTCAATTGGGGCTGTCTCCTGCCGCCACCTGCAGCTCCATTAGCCGAGGGGTGACTTGTTTGTTTCCGTACTTTTTCCTTTTAATATTTTGCTGGGCTGGAAACCATTTGTTGAAGATTCTGACCCAGCAGGAAGTTTGAACAGGACCTCCCACACATTCCAAATTATGTCACTTCCAGGGTCACCTCCCACCCCGCCTCATTTCCTTCTGCCTAGAGCAGACTCGGGGATGGTTTAGAGAGCACCCTCTGGCTGGGCTCTCTCATTTCTGTTTTCTGGAATAAGAACCTCAAATAAACCCACCACAGGCTGTTGTTCCAGGTCCAAAAAATTAGAGCATAAATGAGGAAGAAGTGATATCGAAAGATAGCAGCGCAGGCAGCCACCATTTCTCGGGCCCAATGTGATAGCAGAGATGTGACACTGATCTCCTTTTCTTAATCCTGAAAGCCAAAATCCTATTCTTGGAGACAAAGAGCCAGAGGCTCAGAGAGGGTAAGTAACCTGCCCGAGACCACGCAGCTAGGAAGGACTGCAGAGAATTTCGTGGAGAATGTAAGGGCATAGATGGTGACATAAGTGGTCACACTCAGAGAGCAACATGGAGGGGACTGTCCTGGGGACAGGGACCAGCCTACATCCTGACTCTAACAGTCTTTCCTCTGTGGAGAGCATGTCCTTGGTCTGCCCTGCTTCTCTAGCCTGCAACCCCAGGTGCCTGATCTTGGCCCCTGGGGACTAAACTGACAGTGTCCCTTGTCCCTCCCTGCCCTATCTCTGTGCCTGAGCCCCACCCCTACCCCGTGCCTCCTCCTACAGGGACTCACCCCGCTCCATGCACACCTCAGTGCCTCCCGCAGGCTGTTCCTGCTGCCTTGGGCTGGGACAGCACAGGGAGCTGGGCAGGAGGGTGATGGCACCTCCCAGGGCTCCCATGTTCCTCTCTGTGTATCCAGGGGCTCCTTTTGGGTCCCCAGGGCCCTATGTGTCTACCAAGTTCTTGGCTCACAGCCATGGGTGCTGTGCACTGACAGGGCAGCCATTGCTCTCTGTACTTGGCCTGCTGTAGCTCACTGGACCTTGTAGCTCCCAGATCCCAGATGACCCAGGTGAATGCCTCCCCTATAAACTGTTAGCTCTCGGGAGACAGAGAGTACAGCTCTCTTACTGAATATCCCTGTGCCCCTGGCACGCTGGGCATGGTGCCCAGCATATAGCAGCACATCTCAAATGTCTGTGGCACTGTTTATCGAAGGCTGTGGAGGAAGGCCCCATTACTCCAGTCTAAGATAGGGATGACATGGCTCCTTACAGAGCTGAAGGAGATCCGGGGTCACAGTGACCACTGCCAAAGGAGTTCTGATCTTTCAGGTAGGCTGGCATAGACATAAAGTGGGGTTCCTGCCATAGGGAAGGAGGTCAAGTTGGCCTGACCCAGCAGATGCAGAGGCCTAGGACAGCTCCTCTCTGTTTACAGCACCTGGTTCTGGCTCAATCCCCCTGCCCCTGGAAGAGGCAACTAGCACATCTGTCTTTGTGGCAAAGGATAGGCATTCCAATTCAGAGAGGAAGGGCAAACAGTAACCAGAATGAACTAGTGTGGAGAAGAGGAAGCTGAAGAGGGGGTCATCAGAGGGCTTGGCAGTCGTCTGCTGACATTCCCAAATCCCTGCTACACACAGCCCGTACCCACCCACCACTTGGTGGTCTGATGCATTAGTATAGCTTTCCCAATTTCCAAATGGGGAGATTGAAGCACACCCCAGGTCCTTTGCTGGCACATGGCACAAAGACATTTGGCCCAAGCTGGAGTTGGCAGAGTCGATGCTTGTAACCAACA